ACAGAGAGAATGAGAGACAGAGAGCATGAGAGGGAGGAGGGTCAGAGGGAGAAGCAGACTTCCTGCCGAGCAGGGAGCCCAATGCGGGACTCGATTCCGGGACTCCAGGATCATGACCTGAGCCCAAGGCAGTCGCTTAACCAACTGAGCCACCCAGGCGCCCCCTCTAAGTCCTCTTTAACATATGCAAACCCTTTTGGAAACTTCCTTTGTCTTTAGCCCCCTCTCCCAACTTAAAAGTATATAATCAATTGCTCCTCACAATCCCAGTGCAGCTTTTTCTGCCCTTGGGTCCTGGCCCTGTGCTTTAATAAAAACCCCTTTTTGCACCGAAAACATTTCAAGATTTCTTTCTTGATCATTCCCTCTTGGCCCACATCACATCAGTGATGATTATGATTAACACTGCTATATGATATACAGGAAAGTTGTTAAGAGAGTAAATCCTAGGAGTTCTCATCACAAGGAGAAATTTTTATCCTTTTTTTCATTCTTTTTTTTGGTAATTGTATCTATATGAGAAGATGGATGTTACCTGAACCTATCGTGGCAATCATTTCACAATATATGTAAAGCAAACCCTCATGCTGTATGCCTTAAATATATACTGTGGTGTATGTCAATTATTTCTCAGTTCAACTGGAAAAAATATATAGTTAATAAAATTGCATGATAGGGAAAAGATTAAGGAGAAACAAAGACTTTTATAATATAAAAAATGGATAAGATTAAAATCAACAGACCAAAGTATAAGAAATGTTAATGTCATTTAGGCAGAAGGAAAATGATACTAGGTGGAAATATGGATCTGCACAAAGAAATGAAGAGCACCAGAAAATGTAAAGGGTAAAATAACAAAAGCTACTACACATTTACAGACTCAAAACTATAAAATAAGGTAAATGCAAAGAAGGCTTGTTTCCATGTCTTCTTCACCCTAGTCTTTTCTTCACTCTCCTTCAGCTAGCTATTTAAATTTAAATTAATATTATGTATATCCTTTTATTGCTTCCTTTGGAGAACATAGCATATACAGGTGTTTATGTAGAATGTATGTATAGTTGCATATATTTGCATATGTATATGTGTACATATTTACATATATATTCATAGGATGTATATATTTACATATATACACAAATATATGTGTATATATATTTAAATAGCATTTTAGTGACATAAGATAGTCCTTAAAAAAATATTCAAATAAGTATGCAGGAAATGCTGTATAGCAAATCCATGTCATTGACCACCCTAACCTATTGGAGATTAAAGTACAAATTATATATTAAACTAGTTTAACAATTTTGCATTAAAGAGATCAGTTTATTTTTGTTTAATCAAGTGTTTCCCAAACATTGTTGAAACCTCTCTTCCCTCAAAAAAATGCTTTCCCATATAGAATAGTGCAGTTTTGAACTTCAGTGCCTGAATTGTGATTTTATAATACTTTCATTTTATTTTCCATTGGATAGAAAGGAAGAAAGCTGGAATAGATATGTTTTACAATGTAGCTACATCTGCATAGCACATAGGCAAAACTATGCTGTCAACATTTATGTTCATAATTTCATAATGATATATCTGCATGCAAGAAAAAATGCAAGGGAAATTTCTAGTGATAAAATTTATAGTCAAGCATTTATTTAAAAACTATAAATTCTTATATATAAATTTTTATTATCTATAAATTTTTAATAATCAATTTTATGCTCATTCTTCAGTAGAGGACTCTTTTGCCTTAATGTCTATATGATGGAAGTCTGCAAAAGACACCATCAGTTCAATGTTTTTGGAATTAAACTTCACATATTTATTATTTTTCATGGAAATGACAATCTGATATTCAAATGTTGATTTCACTATTTACATCCTTGTAGAACATTCTTAAAAATGAATACTACACATGTAGTACTGTTTCAACCTTGAGTTCATAAAATGTAAAAGGTAAGAGGACAAGAGAATCTCCATCCCTGTGCTATTTCTTTTATATGAAGTATCTTGGTTGTGCGGTTTGGGAAGTACTAGCCAAAATATGGGGGTGGGGTGGGGAAAGCTGTGAGAAGTTGCGAAGTACATTTATCAAGCCTTAGTGATGAAGACCAAGCAACTCCCAAACACCTCCCCTCT